GCTTTTCTTGTATGATCGAAGTGCTCCGCTCATGTGTCGCTTGTGGCGGAGAATACTGCATTGACCATAATGATGGCTGCTCGCCTACTAAGGTGAGTTGAAAAAAGGCCGCTGCCACAAGTAAGAGCTATTAACACGATTCTCATAGTGTGACTGGTGCAATACAACGACTCCGCGGCGAATGATACGTGAGCTTCACTGAGTTATACATACCCCAGGTGACTCTCTCATCTAACGCTCATGAAGATGTGATGAAGAAACCGTATATACCAGGGCCAGAGTTTCTCTTTAATCCCTCACTCCACTCTTTCCCAATATATTCCTCGCTGGTCGGTTCTTTTCGTTTCTTTTCTTACCTCTTTCTTTCTGGAATATACCCCCATTTGAGACTCAAGTTCATTAGCTTGATATATCCGTTTACTTATAGCTGTATCTCCGCTCTATTTCTCTTTATTTCCCTTTTTCTTCTTCCTCACCTCCCCGATTTAGTTTTCGGGTCGAGACCATGTTTCGCATTGCATTGCGTTTAGGCATTTTCACCGGCAAGCATACATCCTTTCGCAGCACGTACAAGCGAAATACCTAAGGAAGAGGATGCAGGGAAAGGTCATTTGATCTTCTGGCGTACAAGGTGGGCTACGGTAGTTGTTTCGTTCCATGTTAAATACGTTGTTCAAAAACGTAGTCTCAATGGCTACGAATGACATGACTTCTAGTTGCCAACCACTATCAGCCACGTCTATAAAAGGCATAAAGATATCATGTGAGGAATGTTCATTAATTCTTGCGATCTGTAACTATGCTGTAAACTGTCAACAGGCCGCCCTCTTGCAGCCGTGGCAGGTGTTATATCGTAAGCCGCTATGCCGACTCTTGACACTCTTAACAAGGATTCCATCCAACGACGGCCTTGTCAACCTCTGACCTGTATTCTTGTTGTTTGTAGCATTGCTCCAGGAAGACCTTGTACTTCACTTCCAACAGCTGCTTTTCGTGCTCATTTTTGGTCGGGTAGACAGCCTTGCCCGGCTTGCTCATTCGGTCCATGATATCCCACAGCCCTTCCGTCTTGCCATCCTTGTCGGCACTGGCGGCTTTAGCTCCAAGCATCGCCGCACCATGGCAGACAGCAGCGTGGACATAACGAGGGACAAAAACAGGCATCGAGCAGGCTGACGCAATGAGCCCCATCAAGATATCGTTCTGGCACTGGGAGCCGGACATGAAGATAGAGGTAATATTGTGGCCGGCCTTGTTCATCGTCTCGACTATCTGACGTGTCTGTAGCGCAATGGATTCCAGAGTGCCATAGTAGTACAGCGACAGCCCATTGACTGACTTATCGCTTGACAGCCCAATGACGGCGCCAGACATCTGGGGGTCAGCAATCGGGGACCTGTTCCCAAACAAGTCGCCGTAGAGGAAGAAATGGCGACCAAGGTAGGAGACCGAGGGAGCCTTGGACTCAGCTGCCATCTCCCTGAGGTGTTCGTTCAGATAATCGTAGATGTTGGAGTTGTAGGACTCTGCGACGGAGAGTGCTTCGTTAAAGGCCGGATGGGTTTCGATGACATGTTTAAGGAGTTCGCCCGTAGCCGACTGCCCTCCCTCCGCCATCCAAAAGCCCGGGATGATGGTGTCGCGATAGGGACCCCAGACGCCAGGTACAAAGACCGGGTTAGGGGACATGGCTAGGTGGCAAGTGGATGTCCCCGCCACGGCAGCCAGGCGGGTGAATGCCTGAGTCCTATCGTTGTTCGCAGCATCAGAGCTCAGCAGGTCAGAGTCCAGGTCGACTTTCGCTCCAACGGTGCCAATCCAACCGGCGTATGCGTCGATGACACCGCTTCCGACTGCAATACCGGCTGGAAGCCCGAGCTCGGCGGCCGCAGTCTCACAGAGACCACCAACTAATTCGCCCGCGCTCAGATACTCCCCATTCTATAGAGTCATGCGTTAGTTAGCCGTCCACAACCAATGATATCTGTAGCGAGTAGTAGACGCTTACCTCTCCATTAACGCCGCCCATACGTTTGAAGTTGTCAGCGGCAAGGTCCTCCAAGCCAATGGCGCTTAAAAAGTCTGGCTGCCACCCCTTGATACTTCCATCCACCCCGACGGGCACGTAGCCCTGTTTGCAGACCACACTGCAGAAGCTCCTCTTCTCGTTCCCGGTGGCCAGATGGGTGAGGGCATCTGCGAGGTCGTAAAACTTGCATCTGTCGAAAAGCTCCTTTGGCATGTTGTTCTTAAGCCACAGGGCCTTTGGAATCTCCATCTCGATCGACATCTTCCCGCCGACATATCGTAGCAAGTTGTGGCCAGTGGCATTGATCTTCTCTGTCTCCTTGACAGGGCGGTGGTCAAGCCAGAGGATGACGTTGCGTTCGGTGTCGAAGTTGGGCCCGGTGACGGAGATGGGTTCACCAGTGTCGTGGGCAAAGACTGCGAGAGAGCAGGTGGCATCGAACCCGATTCCCTTGATCGAGAGAGGGTTGATGTTGTGCTGGCTGATGGCCCGCTGGACACAGATACAGATGCACCTCCATATATCCGTGGTCGATTGTTCCTGAACATCTAGTCGTTAACCCGTAGGCGCTGATGGGGAGATTGGAAGAGCCCTTACGTAGTAACCCTGCTGAGGCTGCCACAGGCCGATGTTTTCAGATGCCAACCCAACGATATCACCCTTGTCATTGATGATGCACGCTCTTGCACTGCCAGTGCCAACGTCGACGCCGATGTAGTGGTCCATCAGCGGATTGATTTCGTTCCGGGGGTCCATGGTGGCCTGTCTTGAGACCTGTTGGGAGGGTTGAAAAGAGCTCATCCTGAAGGGCGTGCAGGGCTAAATAAAGCAGCAGCAGCAGCAGCAGCACTCTGTGGGTGTCTCCGTAATCTGTCCAGGATTTCGACCCAGTGTACGACCGAGAGGTGCGTGGAAGTGTGTGTGCCTGGCGGAACGGCCGGCTGGTCGAAAGGGAGGCTTCGACTTGAGATAAAAACCCAAGCCAGAGGCAATTCCTGCTCTTGCTTATCGGACAAAGAAGAGCTTGGAAACCGGCGAGAAGGACGAAGCTGAAGCTGTTGTTAGCCGGTTGTCCTGCGAGCCCGTTCAGCGTAGACGGTGCGAACAGTACCTGATATCAATCTGCCCTGCCTGCTCTGAGTCTAGTTATCCTCCTGCTCTCCTCTTCGACTGTCTGCCGTTTGATACGGAGCACTTCGTATGATAAACCCGTCTTTATAGATGTTCGCCCGCACCTGTAGCTAGATATCAGCAACGGATCCCCTGGTCATCGGGCTCAACGCCGAACCCACACTGACTAGCCCACAGCTCTACCAACAAGCAGTTCACCAGGGATCTTACCAGCAGCAATCCTGGCCCATCCTACACCCTCTTTTTCCTTCTTCTCCACCCAGACACGCACATCGTCTTGCTCATCGTCTGCTGCGTTGTCGCTCTGCCATTTCTCCATCGACTCCATCAAGGGTCCACTGATAAAGAGTGGAAAAGAGACAGAGGCGGAGGTCGACTTGTCCCCGTGCCATTGGTACTTCTCCGTCGATCTGCCTGCTCCCATCCTCTACCCTGAGAGATCTCCATACTTCTTCTCTAGTGGAGGGTTGTAACTAGTTACATTGTTACTCCATATCTGCGAGGGCATCCCAGCAAAAAGACCAACCCGTTTGACGTTACGGAGTATGCTCTTGATCATTAATCTTTACACTTTATATACGCTTAGTACACCCTCCATATAATGGCTTCTCTATGCAGTCTACTGGAGTACGACTCTTGACGAGGCGCCTATACTTATGCCGTCTGGTACGCTGGCTGGATACTCCCCGGGAAGCGATGACTCGAGGCCCATTGACGTCGATTCCATGTTAAAGGCCTTCTTACTCTATATCAACAGATAACTCCTCTGAACTCCACATCCTCTCGTCACATCTTCATCGTCCTATATATCGTTCTCTCTTCTTTTTCTAGAGGACGCTTAGTGTCACGTGATATCGCCAACTTCTGACTTCAAGTCAAAAAAGCGACAAAAAGAGCCCAAGCAGAGAAGAGAGAGAAGGAGAGAAGAAAACATCCACCAGATAGAATAGAGGGAAGAGACCGCCAGGATTAAGATGCGGCTGCTGTCTGTCCTCCTCGTCGCCGTCACGGCTGCGGCCTCCTCCACAGCAATGCAGCAGCAGCAGACAGAGCTCTTCTACCAGCCCGTTGTGCCAGCTTCGAAACCGGTCGAGTTAGCGCAGATAAGTTACGATCCGACGACGCTTCGGTCCAAGGTTGTGTCCTACACACCCCCCGAGCCCTCGAGCCCCCAGGCGGACGGTGATCTGATCCGGGTTAGCGTGTCTCCCCAGTCCAGCGGCTGGGCTGGTGTCCTCTCCTCGCGCGCTCTCCTTCAGCCGTCTCCCTCCAGCAGCCATGTTCCCACCTTATCCCTCTATCTCGATGCTGAGGGCAGGGTGTATCACGTCGGGATATCGTCTTCCCCGCCGTCACGATCGAGCCCCGCCGGCAGCCATCAGAGCCAGGCCGGGAAACCATCGCCGGTTAACGTGCAACTTGTCCGCTCTGGACCTGCTGCCGTGGTACAGTTGAATAAGCCCATTGTCAGAAGGGTAGAAGATCCGGACGATGAGCAGATAGAGGTTCCATTGGCGAACTCGCTGCTCCAGAAGTGAGGCTCTACTTTTCCCATACCCCAGCCATTCTCTTCTTTATTAACCAGTTTTCGGAACAGGTACTGGTGGCTTCTGCCAATTGTCTTACTGCTGGTCATGGGCGGCGGCGGTTCTTGAGATATCTACTTTCTCTTGGTAGTAAAATATATTAAATCGCAAGATCTTATCGTTCGAACCGTAGAGAGCACGCCATCTATACAAGTAAATATAAGGGTATGACAGGCTCGTCATCCTCTTCACTCATCCAAATCCATACCTTCCCCGTCATCTTCATCTTCCTCGTCTTCGTCTTCGTCATCATCTTCATCTTCATCTTCATCTTCATCTTCATCATCCTCTTCATCATCCTCTTCATCATCCTCTTCATCATCCTCTTCATCATCCTCTTCATCAGTATCTCCACTTCCATTCGGTTGGATGAGTGGCCTTCTCAGCTCGGCGGCGGCAGCATCCTCCTCCAGCTTTATCACACCGTCCAGCCTCCGCGCGGATCCATCTGAGTTGAGCTGCCAGACCATCAAACCCTTGTCGGTCAACAAGGTAAGCTCATTCTCACCGCCGGTAAACTTCAGCCCAAAACAAACAGCATCTAAGCTTAGTATGAGAGGCTTCAATTCAACAACGTCTCTCCACCCATCCTCGGTTCTTTCATACTCAGCTCCTGCGCTGGACATCGGATGGTTGTTTACCTTTGAATAGGCGCCAGGATCACCAGGATAGTACATAGAAGGAGGATAGTATCCGTTCTTGTTCCGCATGAGTACCTCCTGCGGATTCAATGGCCAGATGTACAAGGATTTCCAGTTTGCGATTGCAAGCCGAGTACCCCCAGGCGACGTAGTGACTAGCCCGGTCAAGTTTGACTCGTTGGTCTTAAACCCCCACAGCTTAGCGACGACAGTCCAGCCCTCAATACGTCTGCCGCGATCCAGGTTAATGATGTGGCCACATCTATCGAACCTGCACCGTGCCATGGACCGCAGAATATATGCACCAACCCGACCATTTGGAGGCAGGCGGGTCAAGCCTACTGATGCATAATACCAGTTGCAAACCCCGTTCCCAATGTCAGACGAATGATGCCCGTAAAATGGAATCCCGACCTGGAACCGTGAAAGTACAGGCGGCGATGTTCGATCATGTTCCGGTAGCTGAGCGTAACAGATATTGTCTAGGATCCGGGAGCGGTGAAGGTTAGGGTTATGGGAAGAATTAACGATGCGTTGAAACTGATCGTATATGATAGAGGACGAATGCCAATAAAGAACTTGCTGATAATGATCGTTAAAGCGGACTTGCACAATGGGGTCTGGTGGAGGTATGTCCGCCGCTGGGAAATGCCGCCGTCGTGTGGTTTCTTGTCCGTCAACTAGCTCAGTCGAGGTATACTCCACATCTAGTTAATGCCACGTCAGTTTTACATCAAGTGAATTTTCAAAAATAAAAAAAAGGGTCATATCAAACAAAAAGAGCCAACATACAAGAGCAGTTGTCTTTCCTAACAACGACATCTGCCTGGTTATATTTGTGTAAACACACTTTGGAAACCTGCGGTGATTCCTTATGCTGCCATGACACAACAACAAATTCCTGATCTACGACGTCGACCGAGAGCGGAAGGAAGTTGTCTTCCAACTCGCCCGGAAAAACAGTAAACACCTCCGGTTTCCAGCGTTTCTCCGAGGAAGCATAGAAGTAATGAATGAGCCGGATACGAGCAGAATAATACGGCATCATTGCGTCCCCCACAAACGGATGTAGAGAGGGCAAGCTGGTAGACTGCACGGGTGGTTCGTAACGCTGTAGAACGGATATTATATCGGGATATGAGCGGCTACCGATGACACGTAGAATCTCAATTTCCCCTGGAAAATCACTTAAGGGTTCAAGTTTATCCAAAAACGACATTGATCCTGCAGCTGCATCATTTCCAGGGCCCAGGTTCCCCACATGATAGAGGTAGACCGAAGCTTGACCCCTGGGAACCAGCGCCATTGTCGGTTGAGCGTGGCTACGAGGCATCTGGTAAGAGTCTGAGAAGAGAGAAGACGACTTGGTATCAATTACTCCCTCGTCAATAGTGTATAGTGTGGCATCGGAGTGGAAATGTGCTCCGTACAGGTGGGCAGCAGCCCTCTTTCGAAGTTCTCTATACAGAACAGGCGTGGACAGCGAATCATCCAATGGAGCACCCGACTCTGTAACTTGAAGGCCTGGCATCTGCAAAAGCTGGTGGCGAACCACTTCGCGGCATGTAGTACCGATTACATAGAGTGTTCGACATGTGCGGATGACTTGAAGATAGCTGGGTGTCGAGCAGCTTTTCACCACAAGCTGGAGGAGTTCCACTGGCAACTCTAGCAGGCCATTCATTTTGTCAGCGTAGCCTAGCAGCTCGACTCTGATTGATTGAAATATATAGGGTAAAAAGGGCTCGTTGTGTGTGAGTATCGTGCTTAATCCGGTTGAGGGTGGGAGAATAAAAAGACAAACACGATGGTTGGGGGCGTTGTTGTAGTTATTTAAACATTTCTAGGGTCGTTTTAAGGTTGAGGCTCTGTTAGGCAGCAATCAGCCTTTTCTCTCGTTTATTCTCCTGAACAAGTACAGTACCAGACCATGAGAATGACGCCTTGGCGATGATAGATTAATATGAAACATGAAAAGAAGCGTATATGGCAGGCATATATATAATATATACATACATAGGACCATCAGGGTACAGGTGCTAAGCGCACACGCGGAGAGGGGGCAAAGGGCAACTGGTCTACAAACTCCAAATCTAAACCTATTTATGTAGCCTCCAATTTCTTAGATGTTTAAAAATGCAACAAAAAGGTGAAAGTACGGTGTACAAAAAGCCCTCCTCAAAATACGACCCAAGGGAGAGAAAACCGCTCTACCTCTGAGTACGAGATGCCAGCCATTCAAGGACAGAATCATAGCAAAGGACAAACTGCCGCAAGCTTTGCACCATGCTCAGCCGCTGTGAGCGGAAGTCTTCCACAGTGGTGGCAACAAGGTCAGTGGTGTCCTCGTAGACCCAGCTTGGCTCCGTTCTGGTCGAGCTTTGAGCCGCCTTTCTCTGCCGTTTGAGCATGTCGATTACGCTGTCTACAGTGCAGAATGTACCTGTCCTGCCACAGCCGGCGCTGCAATGAACTATCACCTTGCCCTGACCCGCGGAGTCGGGTTTATCTTGGTAATATGACGCCGAACGGCCGGTAGAGGCGTTCACGATAGCATCACATTCTTCGATCAGACGCAATAGGTGATGTGGCTTCGCTGGAGTTCCAAAGTCTGGCCAATCAGCATATTGAATCTGGGTAACTTCTCTCGGTGGTTTGAAGGGCTCTTTGGAGTTGGTGATGCTGAAATGGCGGACTGTAAAGCAGGTCGCGTCATGTAGCGGTTTCAACCCACTTTCTCGGTCGAGGGGAATAGTGCCCTCGCTGACAAGTTGGACACGTAGGTTGCCATAGTCAGCAGATTTCCAATACGGATGGCATTTCACTTGGGCTCCATCTGTTTCGGCTGTCAGCATGACGATGAGACGCGTATCTTGCTCCCATACTACACGCCAAAAGTCCTAAGCTGTATGTTAACAAGGGATATCACCAAGTGCATTAGGAATGGGGCTAGCTTACGTTAAATGTGGCAGGCATAGGCGCTTGGGTGGCGATGTAGCGCTTGTTAGAGCGGGAAGAGCAAACGTAGCTGGCATTGATGTAGTCACAGGTGCTCTCGGTTGTGTCCTGTATCTTGACACGGCAATGGTCATAGGGATAGATATTGTTGTATCTGTTTTTCGACCCCTTCTCGATACCTGCAATTCTAAAGGAACGCTTTCCTGGGCTTTGTCCCTCAACAAGGGTGGATGTTCCCGGGGCAGACAGGGCCTGCTGCATGCGACTTTGCTCGCCCTTTTCAATCTTGAGGAACTGAATGGCTGCGGTCTTACCAGCGTCATCTGAATCCGCTACCCGAGAAAGCCAGGCGGGTAAAGACTTTCTAGTGGCCTCGTCCATTCCCGGGGGGATGGTGACTGGGAGCTGGCCTACTCCGCCGATAAGATCGATGTTCTGGCGTATGTTGGAAAAGAAAGGGTTGACAGGGTTCGACGAAGGAGTCGGCATGGCACATCCACCGGCGATCGATGGGGTCGTAGTCGGCAGGGTAAGACTTATAGATAGGGGGCTCTTTCCGTAGCTGGCTGCTGAGGAAGAGGAGACAGCGGTGGGGGCCTGTGAGCTCTCGACCCAGTCTGGAAACTCGGTGGCAAAGCGTGCAAAGCCTCCGCTAAGAATGATGGACTCGCCGTTCCAACCCTCTCTGGTGAATTTTTCGAGAAGATTCACCAAAAGGGTAGCATCTTTGGGATGACTGGCGGAAGAATCGTAGACCATGATACGATTGCTCAATCGCCATCTGTTGAAATTAGATTTCTCCTGCCCGCTGCCAAAGGTCTCTTCGACTTTCTGTAGGTTAAAGGACGGTCGTTTGAGGAGGGTGGTGGGAATGCAGAGATTCAGCGAACCCTTGATGTGGGATCGATTGAATTGCAGCAGGGGGCGTACGTCCAACAGAAGGGTCTCGCTCCCAAAAGATTGAAGAATTTCCAGGCATTTTTCGGCTGGTATCATCTTGACGTTACCTAGATCATGGCTGATGGGGATGGTACGTGGTCTGTGGAATGACAGCGGTTGCTTCTGGTGCCGGTCCCCGGGCAAGCCAGGTGAGAGCAGGCTGGCCACCGGTGCGGATGCGTGGTGGCCATGCCTGGTTGCGGAGGGAGAAGACGCCATCGGTGTCGATCCTCCGGAAGAGGAGTCCTCGAGCAAGGTAGGGTTAACATGATAGGCGGGTCTGTAGGGCCCCTTCTGGTGTAGTTTCGGGTTGAAGCTTTGCAGAAGAGAAGCTGACGGGTCCCGCTCGTCACTCCTGCCAGGCCGGCTGGCAAATCTTCTATCGAGGAGGCCATCTGCATTCTTTCGAGGGGTAACGAGCTTCGGGGCAGCCCCAGCGCTTGACTGGATGCCCAAGGCAAAGTCACGGTCTCTGGAGGGGTGAAACAACTGTGCAGTGTCAGGCGAGGGAGTAGTATTAGCAACGAGGTCAAAGTAGCCGCTGGAGGCTGGTTCATCGAGAGCTCGAGACGAAAAGGCACTGTTGGCGAAGAATGACGCCGTTATCTGGCCGGCTGAGGGGGGCGTCGATGGAGGCAAACCGGCTGGGGTCGTCGAAATTCGCGCCGCAGAACCCCAAGCTGGTGACGGCCGCGAGGTCGCCGCAGTGGTGGACATGGCAGGCTGCTTTGATACCTCGGATGACCCTTCTCTTTTGCTGTTTTTTTCCCTTGTTATAATGTGGTTATGACTGGAGAGGAGCTGCTCGCCATCATCCAGGCACGACCTATTCACCCGCTAGCGAGGCGACTTTAAAATCATCTTGTCAGTCACTTCCATATATTATCTGTCTGGCTGTTGTCTGCTTATATATCTGCCTGTCTGTATGTAGGTGTCGTGTGTTGTATACATAGTATGTATATTGATAGTGATGCTCTTAAGGGGGAAGATGGACAAGCGCGAAAGATGACGTTATGGTAAAAGGAGCGTCGCCACCGGACGAAAACGCAGAAACGCAGCGAAGAAAAAGAGTGGGAAAAAAAGGGCAGAAGAGCCCAAAAATGAAGGGTAAAGAAGGACGGGAGAATTCAGGAACAGGTAAATGAGGCAAAGGGGGTTGCGTTTTTCCCTCGAGACGTACGGGCGAAGAGATAGAGAAGAGTCGCTGGTGTATCCGCCGCAGGGCCCCCTAGGACAGGCGTCGACGATGTATCGAGCAGAAAAACGAGAGAGAGGAAAAGAGAGAGAGAGAGAGAGAGAGAGAGGCGAATGTCTACGCTGGAGAGATACCTGGAGAATTGGATTATTGGAATGTGCGAGAGAGAAAGGCCTGTTCGCCGTCAAGAGGTCGAGGGCAAGGGGAACATCGGCGAACGGACCGTGGTTGGCAGCAGAACGAACCGTGGTTGAGCCAGCAAAAGGGCGACGTCTCAATACGTGGTCGGTAGTGTGAGATGTAGCGTAGAAGAAGTGAAGATGTAAAGAGAAGTGAAGATGTTGGTGGAAGGAGAAAAGTCGGTTTCTACCCAGTGACAAAACTAAATTAACGGCGCTTAACCTGGAGGTCTTATATACAACGCACCAACAGCGATCTCTTATCTTACAACTACACTTCTTCTATCCCTCTGCTCGTTATTCCTCTTCCTTTCCTTATTCTTCTTCTTCTCTTCTTCTGATTCTTCTTCGCTTCTTCTTTATTCTCGTCTCAGTGGGCTTAGTCATCTCTTGGCTGACGTCAAGGTCGATGGTCTAAAGAACGACGAGTTGTAGATATCTTCTAGGGCTTGTCTCCAGTAGGTCTCGAGTAAGTCTCATAAAGAGCGTATAGAGTACTCAGACTATACGGCCGTCTGGTTCACCCTTGAAGCGCTGTACCCGCTTCTGCTCCCAGCTGTCGAGGTCCTTGGCCATCAGTTTCTGCAGGAAGCCCGTTAGCAGATGCTCTTTCAGCATATATATATATATCTACAAAGATAAAGAGAGACATGGATAGACATACGTAGTACTCCTCACGCTCATCGCCTAGGATTCGCCGCCGTGGGTTCCGCCGCAGCTGGCTTGCATCCTCGTCCGCGCCCCTGAGTCCGAGGGCCATAGCCTCCTCCTTACCCAACTGCTGCACCCGGCGATCGTGTCTTTCGTAGCGCAGTGCCGTCGCCGGTGTCAGGAAGAATGAGCCCGCCAGCATCACACTCATGAAGGGTAGTCCGAAGAGTAAGAACGGGTGTCTCGATAGGTTGGCCCGGTACTTCGCACCGATGCGCTCGCCCAGCGACGAGGCGGCCGTTGTCGCCGGCCGGAACTTCTTCGACTGGAAGGGAGGCATTCCTGCTTCAGTCAAGGCATCTGATAACTCCACTTGACTGCCGGTCTAGATGCTTTTCCCTTTTATCTTTTTTCTCCCGTCAGGCCGTGATATCAATATCAATGATACCAACATCTAAAGATGCTCGAGAACAAAAAAGTCGAGATTACCCTTTTTGGTGCTTACTAATGGTACTGACTAAACTTGATTAGCTAATCGTCTCTTATTAATACATAAGTTTTTTTTTTTTTTGGCTCTCGAGTTGAGTCGCTGAAATGGAGACAACAAGAAGCAAGAAGTAGGATAATACCATAATAGTAGATGAGGCATCTTTGTGGATTTTAGATATAACATTTACATTGGCCAAGTGGAATGAACATGATCGGTGCATTGTACGCCTACCGCACCTCAGGCTCTTGTCCCAGCCTACATACTAGATCGTGATGGCTCGCTCAATAGCTGTCGCACGATATCACTTTCTACCACGGCATAATAATAAAGTATGAGACACTTCACACTGCTTGCATGAAATATCCATACGATGGGGCCCATCAGCTGCATGGCTCTTCTAACCATGGAGTACCAATATGAAACCCCATCCTCAGCACTTAACTCATCTATCACCAAGCTACCTAGTTGGAACATCATGTTAAATATTGAAATTTTTGGATTTATTTAGCGCTTCAGCTTTACCAGCATGGCTTGGTTAAGCACATGAATGCCACAATCCCTCGATATGAAAGGATGCTCTAATTTTCTCAAATCCCAAAAGACGTCAACAAATAAAGGACGCAATGTGGATGATCAATGCGAGGCCAACAATGTCATTCCTGACATGACGAGTCTTTATTTTGTCTCATCACGCCCGCCCAAACACTACGTCCATGTCAGCGTACTCTCGAATAACAATGCGATCTCTATGGACAGGCCTGTTGAAGTCGTTGACAGCGAAACTACTGAAGCCAGCACCAAAGCTCCCCCGAAGAGCCCAGATCGCTTCCTACCAGCGGGTTTCATACTGTCGACCCCGACCGACTGGTTGAAGAGGAGGAGCTGCCTGACTACAAGGCTGATCGGTTCTATCCTGTTCACTTGGGGGAGATCTTTGAAGAGCGGTATCAAGTACTAGGGAAACTGGGATTTGGCTCTTCATCGACCGTCTGGCTAGCTCGAGATCTCAAGTAAAACGTTGTTTCTTTTACTATAGCTGCCATTCAGCTTAATTTATGCAGTAACTGACGAACCGGGTAGGGACCACCAGTATGTCACACTGAAAGTTTATGTGCATACATCTGCGGTTCACCGCGAGCTCCCAGTTTATCAGCATATCTCACCCTATATAAAATCTGCTACGTCCCATCGTGGACGCCATAATATCCGGCAACTTCTTAACTCCTTTACGATAAACGGACCAGACGGTAAGCATATCGTTCTTGTCTTTCAAGCCGCTCAGATGAGTCTACGCGATATGAAGGTAGTATTCTTCCCCAACGGGTTTGACGAAAGGTTTGTCAAGGGTGCTATTATTGAGCTTCTCCAAGCGTTGGATTTCTTGCACAGCTATGGAAAAGTTGTCCATACCGGTATGCTCTTCACGATCTTATTTCCGCCTTTGTTGTAACCGCTCATGCACCGATAGATGTACACTCCGGAAACATGCTCCTGGGGTTATATGACAGCAGCCTACTCCGAATCCTCGAAGACGCGGAATTGAAAGCTCCTGTAGCCCGAAAATTGATTTCACACTCCCGGACAATCTATCTCTCACGACTGTCCAAGCCAAAGGAGGGTCCAATGCTATTGTCGGACTTCGGTGAGACCAGGATTGGTCCTGGGCCCCATCCTGGCGATATCATGCCGCTGGAGTATCGCGCCCCTGAAACACTGCTTTACGTGACATGGAGCTATCCTGTTGATATATGGAGTGTTGGCCTTACGGTACGCCCTATATAGCCCTAGACGTGCTGCATCTTTCCACCCGCTAACTATATACCAACTTAAGGCTGGGACCTGCTTGGGTCGAAAACGACCTTTCACAGCGAGAGACGAAGGAAGAGCGATCTGTGTGACGACGCACATTTTGCCCAGTTAAATGCAGCATTGGGCCCACCACCCCCTGAGTTCCTAAGCTAAAAACCCCGAGAGGAGGGGCTGAATTTTGGAATGACAAATGGTATGTAGCCCTTTTCTCTGTCGTGTGTTATACAACTAATAACAATCTTCAGGAGAATGGCTGAGTCCCGTACCTATTCCAGAGGGGCGCACCCTCGAGTCTCTCGAGACCCGTCTGGAGGACAAGGAGGGCTTCCTGCGGTTTATCCGGCGAGCTCTGACTTGGATGCCTGAACAGAGGGCAACGGCCAGGGAACTTCTCCAGGATCCATGGTTGCTGGGGAAGACGACCCAGGTTAGTTAGCTACGCAAAAGGTAGTTAATATATAGTAGATCATGTATATTATATAGAACGGCTTTCGAACTAATTGACTCATTTTTCCCCCATTAACAATATGACAGCCAGCGTACCTTTGTTCAATGTTAATGTTTATCTCAACCTCCAAAAAAGCAAAAGCACGTATCTTTCACGTGACTATTTCTCCAGCTTATGTCATCGGCTTTTCCAAACTTCAACAAGAAAAAGAATAACATCGACGTCGACAGAGAAATTGACCAGATACCGACCACCGACCTTCTTTTCCGTCTTAAGTGAGTAGAAGAGCTTCCAGCTATGTTCCAGGGGTTGGGTCTCAGCCAGTCGCCTGTCTCTACTGGCTCGCTGTTTGGCCAGAGCACCGCTGAACAGCCTGCCCAAGCTCAAGCTCAAGCTCAAGCTCCGTCTCTCTTTGCGCCCAAGTCAAGTAGGTCTTCTTCGTGCTTCTACATGCGCTGACAATTGCTGACGGGGTGTTAGATGCTACTGGCAGTCTACAGCCTCCCTCCGGTTTGAGCATTTTCGGCCAGACTTCTTCTGCTCAGACTGGCCAGACACCCGGGACAACCACCGTGCCGCCACCTTCCCAGCCAGCCTACTTCAGCAGTCTGCTAGAGAAGGGCAAGAAACGGCCCCTCTCGAGCTTCCAAAATGTCTCTTCTGTTGAGCTGCCCAGCCTTCAACTTGGCTTAGATGACATCAGGAAGTCTGCCCGTGGCTTGGGCGCCTCCGGCCCTCGCAACGCCGCCAATAAGCCCGTCGTTACGGAGCATAGAATGTATGTAAAAAATAACTTGTCATTTTCTGTCCCCACACGTACCCGACCCCGGCAGTCATCCTCTGTTTCCTAACTCCTCGCTCCTTAACAGACTCTCCTCCCTCACTGCATCTGGCATCTCCCCCGGACAAGTACTCCATGATCTACACGCCTTTGACACCCAGACGGATGCCAACAACGCCGCCCTTGTACAGCCACCAGCACCACCACACTGACATTTGAAAAAGAGACCTTTGACCCGGACATCAAAAGTCTTGCGGCGGGTGCAGCAACG